CAAGCAGCTATTTGATCATTATAAGTTAATAGAAATATCAAAGCTATTCTCACAATACAAAATATTTTATAAATGTTCACTGCTGAGTAGTGGTAGTAATGATGAAAATCATTATACTGCCCTTTATTTAATAAGCACCTAGCTCAATACTGGGTATTATGCTGTTAGTTTGACTGATACCATCTTATCTTCATGGTAATCATGAAAAGTAGGCATTCTTGTTCCCATACATATATGCAACGTTAAACTGGGAAAAAAAAAAAAAACAACTTATGTAATGAATTTTGTACCTGGCTGAGACATAACAATTAGAGCAGCCTGCTGAGATGCAAGCTCTTTCAATTTCTCAAGGCCATTTCTTTGGAAAATGAGCCTAAATTCTTGTTACCTCCGTGGGGCTGTCCAAGAAAACATTTTGGTGCCCCCTAGAGGTGGTCAGGAATGCACACTTGTCAAACGCCAGGGAATGAGACACTGAGGCCGATTCAGCAGGTGCTATCATTCATTGCTGCCTGCTTTTCCAAACTCAGGCGGCTCAGGTGCAGCCATGGAGAAGCTCTAGAGACTGGTGATTCTCCAGCTTCAGTGTGTATCAAAACCACTTGACGGCTTGTTAGAACTCAGGTTTGTGGTATCTACCCCCAGAGTTTCTGACTCTGCCCTGAGGTGGGGCCTAACACTGTATTTCTAACTGTTAATGTAACCCTTGGTGTTTCTGATGCTGTTGGTCCAGAAACCACACTCCGAAAACCACTGCTCTAGATAATCATCTCAGAGCTTAAACTAGCTCCAAAAAACTGGTCCAGTTTTAGTAACCGGGCACTGGTAACTATGGATCCTAGTTCTCCCCTGTACTAAACAGATGATGCAAACAGATTTAGCAGAGAGATGTGAACATCTCCTGGATGAGGGTGACAACTTCTGATGAACTACAGATTCCTTGATCCCTGGAAATTCTAGAACTCTTTAGGTTTGGTATAGGAAAACCAGGTATGAGTTCAGGGAACTCAGTTCTTGTTTCATCTGCGCCAGGTAATCAGACCTGGCTGAAGACCAATGTCCTGAACACAAATAAAATAGCAACCATTTAGAATTATACTGTGGCTTTTAACTCTATCAAACAGCTTGGAACATAGCAGGTATGAAAAAATTTTAATTCTTAATTTCTATGCTATTAAATTTCAATATTTACATTTCTAATACAAAAATATTATCAGAAAAAATATGTAATTTACCTGAACACAATATGCAAAAATGGAAAATAGTACCATTAAAGTAGTTAAATCCACAGAATTATTTTGTTTCATGAATTCAATCAATGATATTGCTGTTATCTAACTCTGTTTTTACTCATATTTACCTATTTTGCATCAGTTCTGCTTTCTTATTCTTTTTCCCCATATATCCCAATTTCACATAACTTTTCTCCATAGAAAATGTAAACTGAGAGAATGTTTTCTTATTTTTGTTTTTGTTTCTTTTTTGTCTTTTTTTTTTTTTTACTGTATGAGTGTTTAAGTGTATAAATTGTTTTCTAAATCATACTAGCAATTGGATTTTTTTTTCAAGGTAATAGGGGGCTTGAATGCTGACTTTAGTGGATTTTGTTGTAGTTCAGTCATTAAGCCATGTCTGACTCTTTGCAACCCCATTGACAAGCACGCCAGGCTTCTCTGTCCTTCACGATCTCCTGAAGTTTGCTCGAGCTCATGTCCACTGAGTCAGTAATGCTCTCTAACCATCTCAGCCTCTGCCACCCTGTCTCCTTTTGCCTTCAGTCTTTCCAATGAGTTGTCTTGTTCTGTCGGGTGGCCAAACTATTGGAGCTTCAGCTTCAGCATCAGTCCCTCCAATGAATATTCACGGTTGATTTCCTTTAGGATTGACTGATCTGATCTCCTTGCAGTCCAGCGGACTCTCAAGAGTCTTCTCCAGCACCACAATTTGAAAGCATCAGTTCTTCAGCGCTCAGCCTTCCTTAGGGTCCAATTCTCCTATCTGTACATGACTACTGGAAAAACCACAGCTTTGACTATATGCACTTTTGTTGGCAAAATGGTTTTTGCTTTTTAATATGCTGCCTAGGTTTGTCATAACTTTCCTTCCAAGGAGCCAGTGTCTTTTAATTTCATGGCTGCAGTCACTAACCTCAGTGATTTTGGAGCCCAAGAAAAGAAGATCTGTCACTGCTTCTGTTTAAACAAGGTCAGGCTTTATGGTGACCTCATATGATAGCAAGAGGCAACACAGAAGGCTTTCTTCAGGATAGGTGTAACAGAGTCAAAGAGAAGTTCAAAATTCAGTTGGAAGCGATGTAGTCTAGAAAGAATGAAGGCCTAGAGTTAATGATATTAAAAGAAGTGAGGCCTCCAAACATGTCCTGCAATAATACTAATATTTTTTGAATGATAAATCTGATATAAATCATGCATAAATTGCCCTTTTCCCTGAAAAAGTTGATAACACAAAGAAATCGATGTGCCGTATCTCTCAGGAATTCATTGTAGTCTTCCTTTCTTTCCTTGATGAAATCCACTGGATGTATCTTTTTATTCAAATTTGCATCAAATTAAAACATATATTTCTGTAGGCATGTTGCTGTAAGTGGTATTTTTGGCTCTTTTCTTGGTTTTACACAGAATGGAAAGTGAGCCAGGGAAAGAATCAAACTTGAACTCATATCTATGACTTGCATTGTACAATGACATAAATAACATTACTTGTGAATATTTGGAATGCAAGATACATTTTTGCAATTAAAATACAGAGCCATGATTCTGTGTGGTGGATGAAAGTGAACATAAATACTCATATCTTGTTGCTGACAGGGTATCAAAGTTGTGGAATTAAGTTAACTAGTGTGGGAGTAAACATACTTCAACCATATAATTTACTAGTACAGACTAAAAAAAATTCCCTGGGGGTCAGGTGGGGGGAGGAACAGAAGAGTCCTTCATCAGTGATACACACTTATTCTTTATCTCATTTTCCTTGCAGAAAAAAATGTGTCTATGGTGTCTACTTTTTCCGTCTTAAGGAAGTTACAGTAACAGACCTTTATGCTAAAATCTAGAAGGACAAATGAGTTAATGAATGTTAAATGCTTTTGAAGTATTTAAATGAACAGATGAATATAAAATTGTGGCATTAAAATGAGCAATCCAGGGTTCCAATTCAGTTATCTAATGGGTACCCTGTCTTTGGACATGCCCTCAAAATGGCTTTAAGTTTTTCAGGGCAGGCAAAATGACATAGGTAGGGGTAGCTATTTTGCAAAGATATTTTGGAAAACCTAAGTAGGAGAAAAGCTACTGGGTATACTGGAGAAATTTCAAGTTGAGGATATTCTTGTGTTAAAGAAATTGATGAATTTTCAGGGGACCTCCTGTGTGTCGGGTATACTGTTAGATGAACAGAATAGAAAAATGAATTGGATGGGTCCTCTCACATTCAAAGGGGTGATGGCTAACCACACAAATAATTATCACGCTGTGAGACTGGCATTAGGCTGGGGGCTTGCACAAATTCCTGTGTAAGCCGTGTAAGGTGGACTGGGACCAGGAAGAAGGAGGTGAGGTGTTTTAAATTCAAGCGAAATTGTCGACTCATTTAGATGTCATTTCAAACCAATGGTGACAGTTTTTGCTTAGGGCGGCGGAGGGGCGGAGTGGGAAGCGGGAGAGTGGTAGCAGTTGCCAGACACACATCACACTAAAAAGACAAGACGAAACAAGGAAATTCTCTTCCAAAACAGTGGGGAAAAAATATCCAGAACTCCCTGAAATAAAGGAAACCTTCTGGTTACAACGTGCGTTGCTAGGGATTTATTTTTTCCCCTCCTTTTCTAAGAGAGTAAAATCGCACAGATATATTGAAGCCCTTGGAGTTTTGTGAGCAAAGTGTGTACTCAAGACGTCAACGGAGCACGGTGTTAAGTGCCCGACTACAAAGGGTTAAACGGAAGGGGGTGACTCGGAGATGGGGAAGGCTGGCGAAAAGGTTCACAAGCACCATTTTCCAACTTGCAAAAACTCTGAACTTTTAAGCACCCAAAAATACACATGTGTGTGTCTGTGAGCTCAGGCAGATTTATTTCGGTAATTAAAAAAAAAAAATCATAATGTCTCTGTTCCTCTCCCAGTGCTTTAAACACTTAGCAGTCCCCCTTAGGATCGCGTGGCAAAAGCTGCAGCAAGGCTTCGGCTGCGCTATTTACGAGCAGCGTTCAAAGCAGCCCTCTTGTCCTCCACCCACTGCAAACGTCCGTCTTCAGCCTGGGTTACCTCTGGGGCCCTAGAGCTCGCAGCTGGGGAAACCTCCTTCCACCGCCAAACTTTGCTGCGGCGTGAGAGCGAGGGCGCGAGCCGGAGTGCGCGGGAACGCGCCGCCCGCCGCCGCCTCCGCCCGGCGCTGGCAGCCCTGGCCTCACCTCTGCCGGGCGAGGTGCAGGCTCCCCGCGCTCAGCCAGTGGGCGGCGCCGGACCGCGCGGGGCGGGGCCGAGGGGGGGGGTGGGGGCTCCGCCGGGTATATAAAGCCGGCGCCGGCTTAACTTCTGACTTGGGGTTATTTATTTGGGGAGTACGCAGACGGCGGAGGCTGGTGGTGGTGGCAGCGGCGGCTGCTGCCGCAGACGGTGGTTAAAAAAGGCGGCAGGGAGCGGCGGCGAGTGATGGGAGCTCCGTGGCTCCCGGGCGCAGGCGGGATCTGCCGAGCTTTCCGGGCAAGGCGGGAGCGCTGAGGAGAAAGGGGAGCGTCCGGGGGCCCGCGGCCAGCTCCAGAAGCGCGGGCCGGGTTTTTGTTCGGCTGCGCTGAGCGCCAGGCAGCCCGAGCCAACAACTCCAGTTACAACAACAACCCACCTTCCCGCAGCCGAGCTAGACTAGGGCTGCTGCGTCCGTCCTATTGTTTAGACACTTGCCAGGAGCTCGGGAGTCAACAGAGCCACCGAGTCCCCGGTCCCTACCGCCGCCTTCCCTCTTCCCCACTTCCCTCCCCCCAGAAAGAGGCGCGGAAAGCCACCTGGAGTTGGGAAGGTGCTGGAAGGAGACGGGCTGCTCCGGACTGCGGCCGCCGAGTCAGGTGCAGCCGCCCGGATTCGAGCGGCGTCGCGACGTCGGCGGGAGGACTCCCACCGTAGCTGTGGGGACTGGATTCAAAGCCTGGGAAAAGTTCCTGCACTTTGAGAAGAAGGGCCCACTTGTGGGCGGCTATCGGGGGGAGACCGAGGGGCTGCGCCCCGCCCCCCCTCCCGGAGGCTGCTCTTGTTTCTTCCACCTTTGCCATCAGGTGTCTGCTGCGGAGCCGCGGCGTATCCGGGAGACGCGAGGGGCTGACACACGCACGCACACGGGACTGCAGTTCCGCTGCCTCCTGGGGTCTCCTCGGATTAGCAGACCCCACCGACCCAACTGCCGTCTCTCCGCCCTCCGGAACACCCCGGGAGGACCTGGGAGGCGGACACCTCCAGCTTGGCCTTTCCACACTCTTTCTGGCCGGCCTGCCAGCCATTCCCTACTCAGTCTTAGCAGGAGCTCTCATCCTCAACTTGGCCTCTTGGATTTCCTCTGCCGTGGTCGTGACTAGTGGATGTTCCTGCCTGCTGTGGTTCGATTGCCCTTTTGTCTTTTCTGCTTGACCTCGGGGAAGGCCCTCGTGCGGAGCGTCTCCAAGGACGCCGGGCGGGAGGCGGAATTGCCCATACATCCTTTAGCGAAGTGCATGTGACGGGGACCGGCTGGGGCTGCGGAGGAGCTGCAGGCCAGGGGGGAGGCCGCGTGAGTGAGTCACGCCAGGAGCCCCGCAGCGCGGTTCCGCGCCCCTCAGGCTGCGCGCCAGCCCCGTGCGCCCCCGCGCGCCATGTCCACTCGTCCAGTGTGCTTCGCTGCCGGCCCGCGGGGCTCCTGCGCCTTTTAGTTTCGGAGAGCCCACTTTGATCGAGGCCACCATTCCTACTGAGCCTCCTCCTTCTGTCTTCTACAGTCTTCACTGGAATTGGATTTGCAGAGGGGGTCGGTGGAATCGGATCACCTCAGTTCCACGCACAACTGGCCCCTGCATCTTCACGATCTTCATAAGCCGTTGCAAGCTTCAGGTCTCTTACCGCCAAGTTGGTATCTGCCAGACAGACGACGCGCGATCCGCTCACCACTGCTCTGGGGTCTCCCTGTAGCCCTGGCCAGGCCAATTGATCTTCTGGACCTTAAGTTGCCCGAGGAGCGCCTGCCCTGCAGGGAGAGAAGGGCGAGGGGAGCTGAGAGGCGTGTACCTGTGTCAGCTGTACTGCCTTGAATATTACTGTTACTTCTGTATTATTTCGTGCACGTTATCTGGACACTGGGTGGCTGGGCTCGAGGCACTGGGCCTCAGGCACCGCGCGGTTGGAGCAGAGGAACGAGCTAAAGAGAAACCCCCGGGGCCGGCGAGCTAGGAGGCGGCGGGGGAAGATGCACGGCGTCGGCTGGCAGACGCTGTCCCTGTCTCTGGGGTTAGTGCTGGCGATCCTGAACGAGGTGGCGCCGCAAGCGTGTCCGGCGCAGTGCTCCTGCTCCGGGAGCACAGTGGACTGTCACGGGCTGGCGTTGCGCAGTGTGCCCAGGAATATCCCCCGCAACACCGAGAGACTGTGAGTATGGGCTCGTTCTCCCCCTTGGCCCTCCCTCCCATCGGGGTCGCGTAGCCCCTGTATCTAGACTGCAGGGACCCCGAGTCATAGGGACTTGTGCCCGGGGCATTCCCCACCAGCTTTTCTCAACGCGCATCCTAGGCTTGAACTCTCTGGGAGGGCGCTGCCCAAGGAGGGGCCACTGCCCAAGGAGGGGCGGGCCCGCTGACTACTGCGCTAGGTCCCTTCCTCCGGCTCTCGTCCCGCCACTCGCAGCCCTTTGCGGGCTGGTTCTCTGAGGCTGGGGAGGCGGGGAGATGAGGAAAGAGGAGTCGAGTTTGCCCGGGGCAAGGGAGACGCGAGTTTGTTCCTTGGACTCCGTAAACTGAGTCACCTTGCGGTTGGAAACTCTCGCGGGTCGGTTCAGGGCTCAGTTCCGGCTCTTGTCACCGCGGGGTGGCGCGAGGAGGGGGGTGGAGGGGAAGAGGGTACTCAAATGAGAGAAACCTCTGCTCCCGGGCTTTCTGTCGCCCTCCTGGGGACGGAGGGAGAGGAGATGGGGTGTGGGGAGGCTGATCCCGCTCGGGGGCGCTTCCACAGGCCCACGGAAGGAAGGATGCCCCAGGATAGCGGCCGCGCGCAGCCCCCGGCTACTCTTCCCCTGCCTGCCACTTCCCGGGGGAGGAGGCGGCGGCGGAGAGCCCCCAGGGACGTGTCGGAGCCGGGGGACTCCAGAGGCAGACCGCGCGTCCCACCGACTAAGCGAAGTTAGGGCTGGCTGTCCAAACCAGGACCGGTCAAGGCGGGTCTGACCGCTTGGGTAACCCCGCGGCCCTCGGCTGCCCCCGCCGGCCCTTCCTGCTGAGCCCGGTGCCCCCTTTCCACCTTTCTGGCAGTTTCTGCGTCTCTGCGCGCGTCAGCAGCTCCCTTTCCTTCCTCTCCTTTCTTCGCGCTCTGCTGCCCGCAGACATCCCCGCCTCCCTGTCTCTGCGAGTCCCTAATGAAGAAGTAATAGCCGAGCGGGTGATGACGGCCCACGCGCTGCTTGTGGGGCGCTTTCCGAGTTCAGGGAAGTGAAGCGTGGAGGCCGTTCTCTTTGTGAACGTCGAGGCCGCTGCCCCGGCGTCCGGGGCGCGCTTCCCTCGCTGTTGCGCGTGGGCCGGGCGGGGCAAGGAGGACCTGGGAGGCGCTCCCAGGCTGCGCTCCGCGGGCCTCTGCGCCCAGGGCTGTGAGGGTGGAGGGCCGCGGAGGGGACCCGCTTGGACTCCACCCGCGCGGCTCTCGGCACTGCGAGTCGGTCGTATCCAACCCATTTCCCTCTCTCTCAGTTTAAAGTCGAGCCACTTCTTTCCCTTGCAAATGGCTCCCCCATCCCGAGCCTCACTGAGCTGACCGCTACTCGGTTTCTGCCTTCCTTCCCAGGCCCGCAGCGCTGGGCACGTTGCGGCCCTACCGAAGGGGTCTTGTCAAAAATGTGATCTACGAAGTTTGTGTGGGATGGGGGCTTGAGGACTCAGGTTATGTCAACTAGTTCGAAAAGGGAACAAACCATTCGATGGGTCTTTGCTCAGCACGGAAAATGGTCTGGGGAGTAGGCAATGCAAAACTCAGTCTTAGCGCTTGTCATTTCATGCTATTCAGAATGGTTTAAAGTTTAAGCACTAACACTTTTTATTCAACAAAAGGGAAATGCATTTGGGGAAAAAAATAAATATAGCAACTGAGTTTTAGGTACTTGCAAAAATTTACCCCTAAGAGGGATTTATAAAGAATTTTCCGAAAATAGTTTACTCAGTGGCGGCTTATAAAATTATATTATTGACAACATAAGCACATTAAATATAGACCCCAAACATGCTGTCTTAAAGTCAAGGTAAGGTTTACTTCCCTGAAGGGGAGAACATTCAAACCGCAGCAAAGCCTGGTTTTACTTGAAATGATTGAAACCAGGGCAAGTTTAGATCTTGACCTAAGATGCCAGAAAAGGGGGTTGTGACTCTCAAGGAAAGTGTGGTGCTGAAATCTGGACCAAAATGTCAGGGTCTGAATACTATTTCCATTATTGCCCTTGCTGGTAGTTTTCACTTTACAGTTCGCAGCGGGGGTTCCTGAGCTGCAAATAAAGAGTTTAGTTTTCATACAAACATAGAATTGTTGGAAAGTAAATGCCTATAAATGCCAGTCTTTGAAGTGCAGTTCTTTTGATGACATTTCAACTGTATTCTTTGCCTTAGGAAGTTTAGCCACGGTGCCACCTAAGGCTAGGGGTCTGAATTTTTAAAATTTCTCCCTGAATAATATTAGAAAATTGTTCGTTTAACTTCCTGAAGGAAACTTTTTGGGAGTGTTCATAACAATTATAGTAAACAGCAGAGTATCTGTGAAATTAATATACACCTCCTTATAAAAACAAAAATGAAAAGCACTCCCATACACACACAAAAGAGAACTCTTGATAACAGAATCCCTTCATTTTCTTGTCATATGCTGGTAAGCATAGACTGTAAACTTGCTAAGAATCATTTAAAAAATTTTCTTTCACAGATGACTTCCTTCTCTTTCCCTCTTTTACTTTGCAAACTAATAATTGAAACTTATCTTTTATCTCACAGTTCTTATTTAGTGTGTATTTTTCTTTAACTAGATAGTGATAGAAATTAAATGGAAGTTTCATTTTCTTACTTGTTTTCTCTTAGGGATTTAAATGGAAATAACATCACAAGGATTACCAAGACAGATTTTGCTGGTCTTCGACACCTAAGAGTTCTGTAAGTATGTTCTTCTGTGTTTTGGAGAATTACCATGTTTTTTAAGGTTGTGGATTTTGAATCATTACTGATCTCAGGTTTAAAAACTGTCTCAATGACAGAAACATAAAATTTTACCAGGCCTTGGTTTCCTTTCTGTTTATCAGTGTGCTATAATTTTTAATAAAAATGTAGGCTTTTAAGTTTAGGTGCAGGCCATAAAATAGTATTATGGAAATGACCTCAAATATTTGCTGTAACAACCCTAAGTGCTTATGCATATAAAAATGTAGCATAATTGCTTTCACAATATGCGTAATGTGAGACATTTGATATACTTTTAGGATTTGAGATAACTAGAAAGAATTTAAGTGGGTCTGCATTTTATTATTGCTAATATAAAAATGTTCAGACTTTTCTAGCAATCAACACATATAAATATTTTCTAACATTATAATAAAACAATCCAGGTTTTTGCTAAGTTTTTAGTGGGAAATGTTTCCCACTAAAATATTTTGAATTGGTAATATCTTGAATTATCTCTTGTATCTATTAACTTTGCAGCTTTTATAAAATTGTTGCAATGTGATTACTTCTTTGGGTGTTAAGTTGTGAGTGAACCATCATTTGAGATTCAGTGTAATGTAAAACTTTTTTCTTACAAATTTTTAATTAAATTTAAATTTAATATTTATATTGCAGTGAACATATAGTTTTGATCATTGTGTGTTCACCGTTTATTTTTAAAAAACACAGCTTGCCCTTGATGAATTCTTCCCATTTCTGACATTTATCCTTCAGTGAATTGAAGTCTATATGTGATGAATTATTGTATGTTGATTCTTTCAGTTAAGAACTCACTTGAAAACCAGCCATCAAAATTGTAGTATCATGGGTTACATCTCAAGATATACTATAGTTTAAGGTTCAGGATTCTGACTAAATTTTGTGAGAAACTGAATTAGTATTTTTTATGAAAGTTTTGTGATGAGGATACTATTTTCCCTCCCTGACTCTTTTCATATATATCATTGTTAGATTTTGTATTGAATCTGAAACCAGAGCAGTATTTAACTTTGTAAATGGACAGGTTTTAAGTTGCTGAATTGAAACTTTTTCAGATAATGAGTGCTAACATTAAGACCCCTGTTATACTTTGCATTTCAGTCAGCTTATGGAGAATAAGATTACCACCATTGAAAGAGGGGCATTCCAGGATCTTAAAGAACTGGAGAGACTGTGAGTATTTTCAATTCCAAGCTTATGACGACATAACTATATTTTTAATAATACTTGCATTTCAAGGACCATGTCTTTAATTTCATGTCTTAGTCTTTGTGAATTTACAAAAACAAGAGGTTGAATTAGTGATTTTTAAACTAATTTACAATTAGAAATTATAGAAGTTTTGCCTAAATAGTACTAATCTGTGATAAAGTTCAAAAACATACTTACTTTCCTGACACTTTTACTTCCTTGGTAACCATAGCTTTGGTACTTAGAGATGCACGATTTTTCTTATTGTTCATATAGTTTGTTTTATTTGCTTATGGGAGGAAAGGTGGTATTTTTATTTGTATTTATGGGGCATTATAAAACAAAATTTTGCTGATAATTATTTTAGTTCCCATGATGTTGCTATGTGTGTCATTAATGGCATTGGAAGAACTATTTAAAGTTCTTAATGTTATAAAGATTTGCTCTCTGATATTTAACACTTATGGTGAATATTTATTTCATTATTTTATAGTAGCTTTCTAAATATTCTTTTTGCTGGGAAAAGCATTTAAGGATAAATGGAAGTAAGAATTACTTTATCAAACCATGTCATTTAACATTAATTGTTTTTTTCCCAAGAAGATCAAATGTGGACTTCAGAATTTAAAATGCATTTTTTTTTATTTCAGACACAAAATCTTATGGATTGATATATATTACTTGAGAACCATTATTATTTTAGGCCTACGTGTATATGTGCAAAAGACATACGTATATGTACATATGTACATATACATATATGAAGCCTCTGTCTGAATTAAGATAAATACACAATTTGTAACTTGAATTATGAATTATATATCTCCATATGTCTTGATAATTCAAGTTTAGTAGCTTTGCATTTCTAAGGTCAAACAGTGGCTCTATTAAAAGGAGCAGCAATTATTTTAATAAGTTTCCTTGTCTGTTTTAAGAGGCACTTTAGGTAAAAGTAAAAATTTTATTTAAAATAGTGAGATATGAAGCTCATTTTGGGAATAGCACATACTCAGATTCATTGGGCCCTATTACAAAAGTTAATTCAGTATAATTGTAAATAAAAAAATGACTTGTCAACTTCTAAGTTATTTGTAAATAGAAGGTACACTTATAACTTAAAGTTAAATACAGATATACCTAATTTATTTATAAAGAATTTTTCCATGAACAGTATTACAATAAAGGGATATATTTGTGGGATTCAAAATAAATGTAAAGCCACTACTTAAAGCTAGTTTTGGGAAGGAAATAGAGATAAGGAAAACATTTGGTTACGATTATAACAAAGTTCATAAGTTCATAATCTATCTCAATGTTGTGGGGTAATTAGCCTCCAACTAATAGAAATAAATGGAAAAAAAAATATATAAAAATACTCTGAAACTATTTATTCTTTGATCTCTTTTGTGACTAGCTAGTGAGTACTTGACAAATTTATTTTTAATTCATCCATTGAAACTAAGCATTAATATAATTTAAATGATAAGATGAAGAGATAATTTAAAATTATCATTTAAATGTTAATAGTTTTTTTCATCAATAACATATTTATTCATGTATGTGTGTGTGTGTTTAGGATTTATATATACATGTGAGATATATATGTATGTATATTTATGTTTTTTTTCTTGAACAACTTTGACCTTGAAAGATTCTCAGTGGCTTTTCATGAAGTCTCTATTTGGTTTCTTTTGTAGTTTTGAGTATTTTCAGAAACACTGAAACAAAACAAACCTTTTCATTATTTTTCAAGCCACTTTGGAGTATTGTTTGAACTTTCATTTTGAATAAATTAACTTTTCCTAAAATTTATTAACCAGATACCTTATGATCTGAAATTCGATTAAAGTTGTAAGTAGGTGCTATTTTTTGACTTTGACTTCCCCTGGGAGTGTCACTTCATCTCAGAACAATTTTCTGTTCCATGAAGATGCAGTAAGATGTTTCAGAGTGGGGGGAGGGTTTGTAATTTTGAATGAAAACTAATATATATGCAGGACTTCTTTAAATCACCCCAGCTGTTGGCAGAGAGCAAATATTTCATATTTGTGAGGAAAAGCTGAGAAAATTCCTTTTGTTTACAACTGCCAAGTCCATCTGATGGAAACACATTGTTATCTGACAGCCAATTCATCTCCTTGGGACTCTGGAATTCAAAACCATTTCTTAGGAACACTTTTCAAATATTTAGTTTTTTTTAAAATACATTAAATGGCAAACAGTTTTGCTAAAGAATGCGTTCAAGTTATTGTGAAATAAACTGTTTTATATTTTTTTCAGTATATTAATTAAAAAATAGAAATTTAAAAAGCTACCCAGAGAGTTCTATAATCAAATTACTATGGCATTATAATGATATAATTATGGCATACATTCTTATTGTAGTAGGTGATGTCATTAGCATCGCATAGATTGCTTCCCCTCCCAATAGTTGCAAGAGACAATGTAATAAATTGGAAGTAACCAGTGAATTAACTTTTAAATAATATATCTCATGTGAACTTATGTTTTTGGCACCTTGAATCTGAAGTTTAAATTCAAAGTCCAAATTATGAAAAGGTCTATAAATGCAGGTTTATGTTGTAAATGCCATTTATACTACATATATAGAGAGAGAGCAACTTAACTTTCATTCTTTGTGTAAAGAACAAAAATAAAAATATTAACTTTATTTGTGTGCAATACATGGTTTTAAGTTTGTTTTTCCATTTTAAAATGATAAAATCAAAGCAATTCCAAATGATATGTTGTGAATATTTCAAAATTATAAGTTTTTTCTTTTTATTTTTTGTTTGATAGAGTTTTAACTTGATCTAGAGAAAGAAGACTCTAAGAACAGAAGATAAGAGCTGGTCCTTTTAGAAATCTGACTTTTAATCTCTAAGAAAACAGGATCATTTTATCAGATTGAGTTTAATTTTAGTATAGGATAAAAAAATCATTATTGTTAAAACAATATAGGTACAAAAGAAACACTTTTTTTTTTCCACTTCAAAGAATTGATGGAACTCAAGGTTATCAGTCAAAACACCAAGAACTAAATTGGGAATTAAAATCATCTGTCTCTCCCTCTTTCCTTTCCTTCTTTCCTTTCCTCTCTCACTGCCTCACTGCCTCTCACTCACTTCTTTGTACTGTGTAGAAGACATCAGATGATATGATGATCAGACTGTGGTTATGAATTATCATAAAAAGAATAAGTTTTAATCACACTTACACACTATGAGCACACAGCACATCCACTTTTGACCGTTTCCTACTGTGCACCTTGACCTAACATGTGCCCTGGCAGATTCCCGTGGGTGCTCTGAGTTGCCAGTAGTACTTGGTTATCTGGGATGAGAATGAAGCCTTGAGAATGTGCCTGATGTAGATTGCATTAACAGGTCTTATACTGCATTACAGGTCTCATATTGTTTGATCAAACGTTCAAATGAAAGCTGATATAGTTAAGTGACTAGATAATCAATGGAAGCTAAGTAAGGGAAAACAAATAAGCTATAGTGAAGAACTGGAGCATTTAAGAATTATACTTCATTATACTTCATAGAAGATACCTGTGTATTTCTGCAATAAAGTCTCCATTCAAAATTATTAATTCAAAGTATTTCTTGACTAGTGGGTAATGTTAGAAGGCTGAAAAAAATCACACTGGGACCGATGACTTTTCTCTGCAGGTGTGAAGTTCCATTATTCACTTATGTCTTACGGGATTATGCTGAAGTAATTAAAGTTCTATTTTATGGCATTTTAGAGAGACCCAGGCCACTTCGGGGCTTCCCAAGTGGCACTAGTGGTAAAGAATCCATCTGTCAGTGCAGGAGACATGAGAGATTCAGTTTTGATCCCTAAGTTGGAAAGATACCTGAAGGAGGACATGGCAAGCCATTCCAGTATTCTTGCCTGGAGAAGTCTATGGACGGAAGAGCTTGGCAGACTGTAGTCCATAGTGTTGCAAAGAGTTGGGCATGACTGAAACGACTTGGCAGGCGTGCATGCAGGCCACTTCAGTATTTCACTACTGTAAAACATCTGCTTTTATACATTCCTTGACAACACAAATACAAGAGTATGAGAAAGTTTTTGAAATTTTTTAAGTTTGTTGAAAAAATGGTAGGGCATTTTGTACTAAATGCAATGAAACACTCATAATGCAAAATAAAATTCATATATGCCTACATTACATTAATGAAAACCAGTAGCATACCATTGAAAACCTTGGATATTAGGTATTTCATTAACTTTATAATATCTTACACGCTTACAGTAACGAAATTGCACAAGTGATAAAGCCAAAGGCTTGAGTTGTACTTTGGTTCCTATCAGTAAAGTGTAATGGCGCTCTTAAGACAATATTTCTTTAAACATTCCAAGTTTTTGTATCTTTGGATTTCAATTACCTTTTTTTTAAACTATGTTATTTGATAACTCATTTTTGCTTGAATAAAAGAATCCTAAAAGTATTATTATAATGAAGCCATTGCAAAACATGTTCACTTGTCTATTTTAGTTTCTACCAAGTAGATACAAAGAAAATAACTCAGTTTAGAAATGTCTTCACAATAGAGCCTAAGTTTGACTACACACTTTACTCTCCCTAAAGGATATCTCAATGGCACATGTATTTTTTGAAGGTGGTACTAAGTTATTTCTCCCTGGGTGTGCACACCATTTATAGGCATGTGACAGCTAGTGTGAAACTAAGGAACTCCAACACTCTAGAATTTTGGTTGTAGGTCACTACACAATAGTTCAAGCAGAGAATGTGTTGTGGAACAGATCTGAGGGAAGTCTCCCCCAATCCCTTGCTCATTAGGGATGTGGAGAATCCCTCTTCTGACTCATCCTACAAGTTTATAGGCAACACATAACACATTCTTTTTCTTGAAGTAATGACATACTAACAGTGCTAATCTACTTGGAAAAGAATGCAAGCACATCATACTTTCTGGCACCTTTATACTCAAGTTTAAAGTGACTGC